TCTTTTCTTCTTTGCCTTTTTGCGTTGGCTAGGACTTCCAGTGCAAGTGTCCTTGCCTTTTTCCTAGAATCATGGAGTCTTTCGCCATTAAAAATGATGTTAACTGTCAGTTTTACCAGGTTTAGGGCGTTCTGTTCTGTTCCTAGTTTTCTGAGAGTTTTGTCATCAATGGCTGAATTTTGTCAAATTCTTTTCCTGCATCTATTAAAATGATCATATGCTTTTCTTTTTATGATGAGTAACAGCAACTGGTTTTTTTTTTTTTCAACGTTTATTTATTTTTGGGATAGAGAGAGACAGAGCATGAATGGGGGAGGGGCAGAGAGAGAGGGAGACACAGAATTGGAAATAGGCTCCAGGCTCTGAGCCATCAGCCCAGAGCCTGACGCGGGGCTCGAACTCACGGACCGCGAGATCGTGACCTGGCTGCAGTCGGACGCTTAACCGACTGCGCCACCCAGGCGCCCCTGGTTTTCAAATATCAAAGCAAACCTGCTTTCCTGGGATAACTCCACATGTCATGGTGTTCTACTCTTTTTATATATTGACGATTGGTTTCCTTGTATTTTTGTCAAGGATTTTGTATGTATGTTCATGAGAGATACTAGCCTGTAGTTTTTTTTCCTTGTAATGTCTTTGTCTAGTGTCAAGGTAATGCTAGCCTCATAGACTATGTTGGGAAATATTACCTCTTCTTCAATTTTCTGGAACTTTGTCTAGAATCAGTATTATTTCTGTTTTATTTTTTGGGCTTGGGGTTTTCTTTGTGGGAAGGAAATTCAATTTCTCTCCTCTACCCCCCAATTTCATTGCTATGATGGACATAATACTGTTTAAGTTTAAAGTATATAACATGATAATTTGATATATATAGTGGTTACTACATCTATCACCTCATATAAATAGCTTTAAAAAAATAGTAAGAATATTTAAGAACTACTCTATTAGCAACTTTCAAGAAAATAATACAATTATTGTTAACTATAGTCACCATGTTGTACATTAGCTCTCCAGAACGAATCGATCTTGTAACTCGAAGTTTGTACCCTCTGACCAACATCTCCTCATTTCCCCTACCCCCTCCAGCCCAAGTCCCTGGCAACTACCATTTTTGCTGTTTCAAGGAGTTTGACTTTTTCAGATTCCACATACAGGTGAAATCACACAATATTTGTCTTTCTATAGGTCTGACTTATTTCACTTAGTAAAATGTCCTCAAGGTCCCTCCATGTCGTCACAAATGGCAGGATTTCATTCTTTTTTTAAAAAATGTTTTATTTATTTTTGAGACAGACAGTAACAGAGCACGAGCAGAGGAGGGGCAGAGAGAGAGGAAGACACAGAATTCGAAGCAGGCTCCAGGCTCTGAGCTGTCAGCACAGAGCCTGACACAGGGCTTGAACTCACAAACCACGAGATCATGACCAGAGCCGAGGTCAGACGCTTAACCGACTGAGCCACCCAAGTGCCCTGGCAGGATTTCATTCTTTTTGATCCATTCAACCATAAATGAACACTTAGGTTACTTCCATGTAACACATTTAGGATTCTTGCATAGGATTCTAAATATGCAATGAACATGGGGTGCAGATATCTTTTCGAGGTAATAATTTCATTTTCTTCAAATATACACTCAGAAGTGGTATCGCTAGATCTATACGATAGTTCTAATTTTAGTTCTTTGAGGGACCTACATACTGTTTCCCATAATGGCTGTACCAATTTACGTTTCCACCAATAGTGCACAAGGATTCCTTTCTCCTACATCCTCGTTAACATTTGTTACTGCTTGTCTTTTTGCTAACGGTCATTCTAACAGGTGTGAGGTGATATCATATTGTGGTTATGATTTGCGCTTCCCTAATGATTAGTGACATTAAGCACCTTTTCATGTATCTTTTGGCCTATCTTTCCAGGTCCTTTGCCCATTTTTTAATTTGAAAACAATTTTTTTGTCTGCTGAGTTCCTCATATTTTATACATATGTACATATATATAATGTATCCATATGATAATATCATAAATATAAATATATTTAACTCCTCAAATTCAATTTAATACATACAGCATTATTCAGGTTACCATTTCTTACTGAGTTTTGGTAATTTATATATTTCAAGGAATTTCTCCATCTCATTCAAGCTGTTGAACTTATTAGCATAAAGTTGTTCATAATAGTTCACTAATATCATTTTAATAACTTTAGGTTCTGTAGCGATGTCCCCTTTCAATCTTTGTATTGGTGATTCATGTCTAATCTTTTTTCCCCCCCTCAATTAGTCTGGCTAAAGGTTTATCAATTTAATCGATCTTTTTAAAGAGCCAGCTTTTAGGGGCGCCTGAGTGGCTCAGTCAGTTAAGCGTCTGACTTCGGCTCAGGTCATGATCTCACGGTCCGTGAGTTCGAGCCCCACATTGGGCTCTGTGCTGACAGCTCAGAGCCGGGAGCCTGCTTTGGATTCTGTGTCTCCCTCTCTCTCTGACCCTCCCCTGTTCATGCTCTGTCTCTCTCTGTCTCAAAAATAAATAAACATAAAAAAATAAATAAAGAGCCAGCTTTTGACTTTTCTCTATTATCTGCCTGTGTTCTATGTAATTGATAGTCACTTTTTATTTTATTATTTCCTTCTTTCTTTGGGTTTAATTTACTCATTTTTTTAGTTTCAGGTAGAAGACTGAGACTCTTTTCTTGTCTAATATAAACATTTAATGCTATAAATTTCCTTTTAAGAACTGTGTTAGCAGTATCTCACAAATACTATGCTGTATTTTCATTTTAATTCAGTCCAAAATATTTTTAACCTCTATTTTGATTTCTTCTTTGACTAATAGGTAACTTAGAAGTATGTTACCTAATTCCCAAATATTTGGGGAATTTTCCACATATCTTTCTCTAACTGACTTCTTGTTTAATTCCTTTGTGAGGAGAAAACAGATTGTAGGATTTCAATCTTTCAAAATGTACTGAAACTTGTTTTATGGCCCAGAATATGGTATATCTCAATGTTCTATATGTAGGCCAAAATAATGTGTATTCTGCGCTGCTAGATGCATTATTTTCTACAAGTCACTTAGGTCAAGTTGGTTGACATTGTTATTCGAGTCTTCTAAACACTGTTCTATTACTGAGACAGGGCTGTTGAAATCTCCAAGAGTCATTATGGATCTGTGTATTTTTCCTTGTAGTTCTATCAGCTTTTGCTTTATGTGTTTTCAAGCTCTGTTGTTAGATGCATACACATTTAGGATTCTTTTTTTTTTTTAACGTTTTTTATTTTTTGAGAGACATAGACCAAGCACAAGTTGGGGGGGTACAGAGAGAGGAGACACAGAATCCAAGGCAGGCTCCAGGCTCCAAGCTGTCAGCACAGAGCCCGACACAGGGCTCGAACTCACAAACTGCAAGATCATGACCTCAGCCAAAGTCAGACGCTTAACCGACTAAGCCACCCAGGTGCCCCCACATTTAGGACTCTTGACGTCTTCTTAATCAACTGACCTTTTTATCATGTAAAATGTACTTTGTGCCTGGTAATATTCCTTATTTTGAAGTTTACTCTGACTTGTAGTAATATGGGCAGTCCAAATTACTTTTATTAATGTCTGCATGGTATATATCTTTTCCATCCTGTTTTTACTTTAAGTCTTTATGTTTAAAGCAGGCTTCTTACAGATAGCATCTGCCATTATCTAATCAATCTCCGATTTAACTATTTATTAATTTTTTTTTGATTTAACTATTTAGACCATTTACATTTGCTATGACCACTAATAGGATTTCACTTAAACCTACTATTTTGCTATTTGTCTTCTATTTGTCCCATGGATTCTTTCTTTCCTTTTCCCCTTTTTCTTGAGTTCTTTTATATCCAGTAATTTTCTGGGTATGGTTTCTATAGATTATGTTTTTCTTCTGATTGTGGGTCAAGTTTTTCTGCTTCCTTGCATACCTAGTAATGCAGTGGATGGCAGATATTGTTATTTTTATACTGTTGAGTACTGAATTTTACTGTGTTCCTTTAAAGCGGGCTGGCCTTTGTCCTGTCATGCAGTTGTTATTTACAGAGCAGTTTGATCCTTTCAAAGGTTGCTCTTCAGTTTGGTTAAGGGGCTTTACTCTAGAGCTTTTGGTTTTTTTTTTTTTAAAGATTATTCATCTATTTTGAGAGAGAAAGAGAGCTTTCATGTGCGCACAAAAGAGGGACAGAAAGAGAGGCGGAGAGAGAGAATCCCAAGCAGGCTCTGTGTTGTCAGGACAAAACCCAATGCAGGCTCGAACCCACAAACCATGAGATCATGACCAGAGCCTAAAATCAAGGGTCAGTGCTTAAACAACTGAGCCCACCCAGGTGCCCCATACTCTAGGGTTAATTTAGCTCCAGCAGTAAGGCATAATGTTTCTGAGGAACTAACCAATGCCTTGTACATTACAAGACCTTGGTTAGTAGGGGTGGGACCTATTCCTAACCCATGTTTCAGGAATTAATTTCTGTTATTTTTTCCATGGCCATGGGCATTTTCACCCAATATATGTATAGATCAGTATTTGGCCAAGCCCTTCAAGGGACCTCTCATAAAGAGAGAAACTCTGGAGCTTTCTTTCTGTGAAGCTCCTTTTCTGGTATTCTTCTCTATGACTTCTAGCCAATTTAGGTTATCCAAACTTTGATTTCTAACTCCTAAATTCAGCAACACTATGAACTCTATTAAGGTCTCCCCTCCCTGCACTTTGGAAACTGCTTCTGGGCAGTGAGCTACAGATCACTTCCATGTTACCCTTATTTCAAGAATTACAGACCTCTACTGCCTTTTGTCCAATATCTGGAACTAGTTGTTTCACTTAGTTTGTTTTCTAGTTGTTCATGATGAGAGGGCAGTTTCTATAGCAGCTAATCCTTCAAAGGCAGAAGGAGAATCTCCCTTATGCCCTTTTTTAATATCTGGAATTTAATTCTTTCCAGTTTTTATACAAGCTAGATCAGAACACATGTCATTCTTACCTTTGTAGACCTCTCTAAGGGCTGATCATATTGTGCCTGTTGCATAACATCACTGACTATCATTTTAGCAATCTTCCAAGCTAGCTCTTCTTGGGCCTAAAACAACAACAACAAATCATTTCAAACTGTTGATAATGGTTATTCATTAGAAAAGTTAAGACTTACATTATCAGTGCTCTAAACACAACTGTATGTGATAGGACCTGGGCCACCCTCTGGCTATGCTACATTAACAAGTTATTTGTTCACTGTCTTCTAGGGTGAGCTACTGGGTACCCAACATCATGACTATTTTCATGTTAGATGATCAAAACGTTTTTCTTTTTCCACTCACATCTCTCAATGTACTTAACAAGTCAAAAAGCAAGCCTCCTCTTCTGCAAACAGAAGTGAGGAAAGAAACATTTGAGCTTTTTGTTTCTATGGATGCCTGATGGTTGATGGAAATTTGGAGGTATGTCTATTTCTCAGTGGCTAGAGTCTCTGAACTAAAAGATCTTGCACTGACCCCACAAGGCAATTGTTAGATACTAAAAAGGGCCCACCCTTTCTTGTTACCTCCTGGATAAGGGAGCAATGATGTGCCATGTTGCTTAAACGTGGGAACTAAGGAAAGAGAAAACCTGAAACTTTACTTAGACAAAGTGCCACTTTATAAACAGGAATTTCTTTACACTGAAAGTAGAATTTACCTCATCAGTATTTCCTTGCACCCATTTCTTCATAGCTTGTGAGAACATGGATCCTAGTAAATAAAACCAAAATTGAATGTAGATTTCATGCACAATTTTACATTAAAAAGGTGCTCTTATTCAAAAGCTATTTCCAGAAATGGATATTCTTTTTTTGTACAATCTCATCTAAAACATTAAGGAATATTACCGTTAATCAAAATTGATTATCTCCATTAATAAGTATTTAACTTGCAAAAGACTTTTGAAAGTCTGTTTCAGAGTTCTGGACTTTTCTTCTATTCTCCTCACTTAATAAAAGAAAAGTATTATCAGGGCACCTGTGTGGTTCAGTCAGTTAAGCGTCCAACTTTGGCCCAGGTCATGATCTCATGGTTCACGAATTCAAGCCCCAGGTTGGGCTCTGTGCTGAGAGCTCAGAGCCTGAAGCCTGTTTCAGATTCTGTGTCCCAGAATTCTGTGTCTCTCCCTGCCCCTTCCCTGCTCATGATCTCTCTCTCTCTCAAAAATAAAATAAAAACATTAAAAGAAAAAAAAGAAACTATTCTCTAGTGTTAGATTTTCAGCTAATATTAAGTGAACAAAAGAAAACCATGACTAGGATTTGGTCTTAGATAAGAGTCTAGCGGTACATCAGGAGGTATCAATCTACTTGTTATATATCCAAATTTTTTAGACCAGCTCCTATACAAAAGGGCTTCCAGTAAAAATTACACTGCCACATGCTCAATCTCTGGTCTGTATAAATTGGCTGATTAACAGCAGAGTTTTAAATGGCCATGCTCTGTCCAGGCCACAGCACACCTCAACCCCCCAGGAGATACACACAAGCCTATCTTCATATAGGTAGGTACTCAGGTGCTGAGGAATCACCAAGACATAGACTAGCCACTTTTTCCATTAATGAAATACATAGCTTATCCTTTCTTTAACACAAATAAGATCCTTTCCAACTTGGCCTTAAATCAAGCAGTTGGTAGATTATTTCTTAGGCAAGGTACTGATTAAGTCAATGACTGGATTAGAACTATATAGAGCATTCATGAAAAGTGCAAAACCTGCATCCTTTCCCTTCATAATTTTTAGTATTAGCTAAAAGTCTGAAGACTGGTCTAGTTAAACTTTATGGCCAACCAGTCAATAAAGCCACATTACACACTCGGCCTAAAGTCTCAAATGGCTGTTGAATTGCCCAGTGCACTGCTCTCTCTCAGGCTAACCCAAAGAGCCACACTGTGACAGTCTCCTACATGTTTAACACCCTCTCTCCTTTTCAATGCACACAAGTTTGGCTCCTTTCTGTGCCTCCCCTCCCCTTTTAACACGGAACTTCTCCAGGACCCCATTTCCAGCCTTCTTTTCTCCTTTGACAGATTTTCTCTGGGGCATCTCATCCCCTCCTGTGGCCTTAACTTCCTTCAAAATGCAAATAATCAAAAAACCTGACCTTGGGCATTAAAATTCATGGACTTAGAAATTGTCCTACGGTCTCTCACAATTAACATGTTCCAAATTGAACTTGTCTGTTCTCTACCTCTTTTTTTTTTTTTTTTAAATTTATTCATTTATTTTGAGAGAGAGAGGGAGAGTGTGCAAGCAGGGAAGGGGCAGAGAGAGAGAGAGAATCACAAGCAGGCTCTGCACTGTCAGTCCTGAGCCTGATGCAGGGCTTGATCTCCTGAACTGTGAGATCGTGATCTGAGCCAAAATCAAGAGTCTTGATTTCTTGCTACCTGAGGACAGTGTAGAGCCCTTGCTGACCAATACCCCACAGAGGCTGTCTAATACTTCCTCTACTCCAAAGCTACCAGTCACTTCTTCTTTGTACTCATTTTTTACCAATAAAATACACTATTAGACTCTAGGTTTCTTAATGGCAGGATCTGTATGTTCTAACCTGCCCCGTGAATAAGAGTGCACAGAGGCACTACAAAATTATTTACTGAATGAACTGTGCAGACTTCTTTCCGTCTTTGTACTTTTCCCGACTGTGTATCTCAGGCTTCTCTGGCAAATTAGGAAATAAAATCAATTATTTAAATAAACTGATAGGGTAAAATAGGTTAACAGGCCCTTTTTGGGTCTAAATGATTTCAACAACTGTTGCATTTTTTGCTTACTCTGTCAATGTATATCTGACCCAAAAGTAGATTGCTCACCAACACCAAGATCATTCCTTACTCAAGTAGTAGTTGAATTAAAAAATAAACATAATACAGGCACCTGGCTGGGCTCAGTTGCTGGAGCATGTGACTCTCGATCTTGGGGTTAGGAGTTTGAGCTCTACGTTGGGGGTAGAGTTTACTTAAAAATAAATAAATAAATAAATAAATAAGTAAGTAAATAAATAAATGGAATGCAATCCTATTAAATTCAATAGGAAGATTAATAATAGCTCTTAATTTTAAACACATTTCTCAAAATGGGAGATTTTCTTCTTCTTTTTTTAAAGTTTATTTTGAGAGAGAGAATGTGGGAGGGGCAAAGAGAAAGAGGGAGGGGGAGAGAGAGAGAGGGAGAGGGACAGAGAGAGAGAAAGAGAGAGAATCCCAAGCAGGCTCCACAGTACCAGCGCAGAGCTCGATGTGGGGCTCAAACTCATGAACTGTGAGGACACGATCTGAGCCGAGACCAAGAGTCAGACACTCAACCGAAACATCCAGGTGCCCCTGGAACACTTTCTTCTTACAAATTAGTGTCTTTTACTCAAGACAATACTATCAATCCAATCACACTGAAAAATTTCTAGATCCCAAGTGAACGGATCCACATTGGTTTTTAAAATCTTCCTTGTAAACCAACTGTTTGGAAGCTGAAATCAGTCACAAATAATGTACTTGTCAAAAAAGATTTGTGTTTAACTCTTGCAACTAAATGAGCACTCTCCAGGTGATTTTAAATGAAGGACTTGAATTTCAACCTCTTCATATTTTTCACATATATATCATGTATTTGAAATTTCAGCAAATTAGAGGAAATTTAATGAATTAAAGGGTCTTGAGATAAACCTCAAATCCAACCTGGACTGGGTATTCACCATTTTTGTTTTTTTTAAGTTTATTTATTTTGAGAGAGAGTGTGTGAGCGAGTTGGGGATGAGCAGACAGAGAGAGAGAGAGAGAGAGAGAGGGAGGGAATCCCAGACTCCGCACTGTCAGCACAGAGCCTGATGTAGGGCCTGAACCCAAGAACCATGAGATCATGACCTGAGCCGAAGTCAGACTGACTAAGCCACCCAGGCGCCCTGGGTATTCACTATTTTAAATAAAAAAGTGACAAATATTTTTTCATGCAGATGTGCTTTCTGGAATGGTAAAGCAAATTCAATACCTTTCATTCAGAGACTGTACAGAGATGTGATTACACAAAGCCCTTGTGCTCAGCTGTGACTACAAACACAAGGTGAGAGAGAAGGCAATTATTTCATAAAATAAACTGTTTAAATCTTAAATGATCCTTCACTTACAGTCACTGACTAATGTGAGCAAAGGCTTAACAGGGAGTATGAAAACACCACAAACCTTTTGATTTCTTTACATCAGGTTCAGGCTCTGATTCTCGGATGAATTGCCCCAAGTCACTTACTCTTCCAAATGTCATCTTCCTAAATAAGTACAAAAAGAAAAATATGATTTCTAATGATCAATACCAAATTAAGGAAAGAAAAATTCCACTCTTAAGCATCTCAGTTAAATGTAGGAAGCTAAAAATACTGTGTCATGTTATTCAAAGCAAGGTTTTTATTTTATTTATTTTATTTTATTTTATTTTATTTTATATTTTATATTTTATATTTTATATTTTATATTTTATATTTTATATTTTATATTTTATATTCTTATTTTATTTTATTTTATTTTATTTTATTTTATTTTATTTTATTTTATTTTAAGCAAGGCTTATTTTAAATAGAACTGTCCCCTAAAGAAAGCAAAATAATCTTTAATTCAATGCAATTCCATTCAAAATCCCAGAAAGGTTTATGAAACATGATGGGTGAACAGGTAGCTCACAATTCTAAAATTCATATGGAAGACAAAAGGCATAAGAATAGCCAAGATAATTTTGTAAAGGAGATAAAAAGGTAGGAACCTGTCTTAGATCAAAATGTGTATTACAGAGCTAGAGTCTATAGAGCTAGAGTCATTATATATTACATATAGTCATTATATATGCTATAAAGCTACAATAATATCAAGCAAACTTGAAAGGCAAAGAACACAGTGAAAGACCTTATTTAACAGATTACTAATCAATAATGAATATTCAAAAACATAAAGAATTCCAACAAGTAACTAAGAAAGACAGAAAAATGTTAAAAAGGAGACGAACAGTCACTTCACAGAAGAGAAGCCTGAACGACCAACAAACATGCCAAAAGCAACTTAATCCCAGGGGCAATAATCCAGATTGGTAAAAAATCAAACATCTGATGTTATTTAGTGTCAATAAAGATACGGGGGAAACGAGTATCTTCCTTAACGGGGGGTAAGAATGCAAAACATATAGCTACTCTTAAAGGGAAGCTGGTTAACGGGCGCCTGGGTGGCTCAGTCATCAAGCATCTGACTTCAGCTCAGGTCATGACCCCATGGTTTGTGAGCTCGAGCCCCATTTTGGGTGAGCAATGCTTCTCTCTCTCTCTCCTTCTCTCTGAGGGACTCTCTCTCTCTCTCTCTTTCTCTCTCTCTGTGTGCCCCTTGCTCACTCGCGCCCTCTCTCTCTCAAAAAAATAAAGAAAATAAAGGTAAACTGGTTAAGATCTATTAAAATTTAAAATCTGCCTCTTGGTACAAGGAAGTATATAAAAGTAATTCTTTGCCATTCTGTGCGTAACAGTGAAAAATTGCAAACAACTTGAATATTCATCAATACCCAAAGGGCCAAACAGTGGCCACAGTTATGAGCTATAATTAAGATTTTATATGGAACACTACAAATAGTTAAAATGAGGTAAATCTGTATATACTACTATAGAAAAGTCTCCAAAACTCACTGGACTGAAAGCACAAGGTACCAAATAGAGTGTAATATCGATTACATAAAAATAAGCAAGCAAAAATACATACTATAATGTCACAGTGATTATCCTGAGTAGGAAGGGGAGAGAATAAGCTCTGGTGTGTGATCAAAGGGGACATCAGCCTTATCTACACATTTAATTTTTAGAGGAGATTAATGTATTTGTAATTAAAAGAAGGAAAAGAAACTGTGACGCCCATGTATTATTTCACTCGGGCCATGGTGGGTCTTATTTTAGGGTTATCCTTCCCAGTAAGTTGTCATTTCACATGTGCTTGCAATACACCAACAGACAGAAATATGTCTGCCTTGAGAAACATTTCAGGAAGATGCCAAAACCATAAGACTAAAAACCAACACTGAAAACTATCTTTTTTTTTTTTTTTTTTAATTTTTTTTTCAACGTTTATTTATTTTTGGGACAGAGAGAGACAGAGCATGAATGGGGGAGGGGTAGAGAGAGAGGGAGACATAGAATCGGAAACAGGCTCCAGGCTCTGAGCCATCAGCCCAGAGCCTGACGTGGGGCTCGAACTCACGGACCGCGAGATCGTGACCTGGCTGAAGCCGGACGCTTAACCGACTGCGCCACCCAGGCGCCCCGTGAAAACTATCTTTAAAGATGAAGAAAAGTTGGGGGGCGCCTGGGTGGCTCAGTCAGTTAAGCGTCCAACTTCGCCTCAGGTCATGATCTCATGGTTCATGAGTTCGAGCCCTGTGTTGGGCTCTGTGCAGAGCCTGGGGCCTGCTTTGCATTCTGTGTCTCCCTCTCTCTCTGTCCCTCCCCCATTCATCCTGTGTGTGTGTGTGTCTCTCTCTCAAAAATAAATATTTTTAAAAACCAAAAAAAAAATTTTTAAAGATGGAGAAAAGTCATTATTTCTCTATTTCTGACCCATTTTATATATTATCTGTTAAAATACATTTATTTTACACACACAGCAAAAAAATTACAGAAGTAAAACATCTTGCAATTGACAGACTGCTTTAAGTCAGGTTTTAAGTAAATGAACTAACAACGATTCCTTAAGAATAAATATAATCTTTGGGAATTAAATCATTTAGGCTTATTGTCCACCATTTCCTAAAAGAAGAGATAAAGATCACCATATTGATGCAGCTAAAGCATGCTTTCTGAAGACAATATGGTCCCACAGCTTTAATTTACTTCAAAGTACATCCCACGACTCCCTGGTCTCCCAAATATCACTGTTACTCTCTGATAAACTCAATTAAACATGTTGAAATCCCTTTTTATGGCATTGCCGGGACTGGGGTTGGGTCTGAGTAGGGTAATCAAGACTTTACACAGGTTTATATGTTAATCAAGCCATCTTTAGAGAGGAGAAAGTGACTTTGTGATCTGATCTGTGGTAAAGGTCAGCAAGTGGTATATGCTAGGAATTGATGTCTTTTTGTTACAGGATAAATTAAACATCCAATTCTTAATTAAATACAAAGAAATAATTTTATTCCATTTTCAAGTATTAGTTACACAGTATTAGTCACTGTACTTTACTTTTGCTTTTAAGACAGACTTTGAAATAGCTAACATACGAACCAAATGAAACATGGAAGAGATACAGCCTAAAACCTGTCAGATAAACATGATACTCATCAACCTTGTACAGCATGGTGGAATGATGATGGTAATGACATTTATGGAGTGTTTACTAGATATTAGGCAAGGTTTTAAGTGCTTTTTGTGTATTACCTCATTTAATCCCCTGAACAACCCAATGAAGCAGTAATATTAATCTCAATTTAGAAATGAAAAAACTGAGACACCAAGAGGTTAAGTAGTTTTCCAGTAAGTGGCTGAGCCAAGATAAAAACCCAGGAAGTCACTCCTGAGCCTTCACTCTTAACCATGGTCTACTGCATACTCTATATAAGTAAGTGCTGGCTATATAATAGATGAGAAACAATTTTTAAATCTTAATTGTTTTTAATGTTTATTTATTTTTGAGACAAAGAGAGATAGAACATGAGTAGGGGAGGGACAGAGAGAGAGGGAGACACAGAATCCGAAGCAGGCTCCAGGCTCTGAGCTGTCAGCACAAAACCTGAGGCGGGGCTTGAACTCATGAACTGCGAGATCATGACCTGAGCCCGTGTCAGACGTTTAACCGACTGTGCCACCCGGTACCCCCCAAATTTTTAAATTTTAAATTGAAAAATAAAAGAGACAAAACTCCATAAACTTGTAGACATTTTAGACACTCAGTCAAGCTTACCCTGCATATGTCCGCTGATACAAAGATTCTGGATCCAAACTGGCAGCATCCACAATGATCGCTTCATCAAAATTTTTCAGAATTTTAACACTGGCTTTTTTCATACTGGACTACAACAGAAATTGTAAAATCAGCAGTATATTATTTGGGAATCAAACAATCCTGGGTTTGAGATAGGAAAGATTTGTACAAAATCTTCAGTAATTGAAATACACATAATTTTCACTCAACCCCATCATGACTGAGATGCGAAACAGTAATGATTCTGAAATGTAACCTCGAAATATAACTGCAGGAGGAAGCACAATATTAAAGTGTACGACCCAAGCTTTTAATGCCAAATCTGTTTGTTTTCCTGGTGATCTAACAAATGTGCTGTCTTTACAGGCATTGTGTTCCCAAGGGTGCAAGACACCCATCCATCCAGGTATATATAGCTTAGCTAACTTTTACAAAATAAACACGCATACTTTTGATCTTCAGTGAGGCCAAGAGAAGCTGAAGAAAACTTTCTAAAATGACCAGCCAGAAGAGTGTAGTAAGTTCTCCTCCAGCATGTTATCTCCCACTCCTCATCCCACGAAAAAGCAAGTCAGAATTGTTATTTCTATAAAATACCAGAGCCATGTGTTTTCTCAGTTATTCCACTTCTAAAAATTCAATTACAGACAGACTCAGTTCAACAAAATGACTAATATGCAAGATTATTATTCACTGTAGCATAAAGTAACGAAAGGCAGGAACGTGTTTAAAATCTGTGACTAAGGTACAGGTTCATACCCATGACTCACGTATAGGTTAATATCCATGGTTAAGGTATAGGAACAGATGCTTACAGAACACACTCCACAGTACATGGGGTTCTCTTTATGTGCTAAGAAGGGGTAAATAATTAAAAAGAAAGAGGCACCCAAATAAAGAAGACAGAATACTTCCCTGAGGCTACTGTTAACTCAGTTACCAAAACTGGACATCACAAGAAAAGAAAACTACAGATCAGTGTAAGAATTGATGCAAAACCCTAGCAAAATACTAGCAAACTTATAAAAATAATTACATACCACCACCAAGTGAGTTATCCCAGGTATGCAAGGTTGGTTTAACGTCTGATAATCAATTAATGTAGTACACCATATCAACAGAGTAAAAACCAAAACCCACATGACCACTTCCATTGATACAGAGAGAACATTTGACAGAATCCAATACCTTTCATGATAAAAAAAAAAAAAAAATTCAACAATTAGGAATACTGGGAAATTTCCCCAACTTAATAAAAAGCATTTATGAAAAATCCATACCTAACATCATATTAAAAGATTAAAAAACTGAAAGCTTTCCTCGTGAGGTCAGGAATAAGACAAGGATGCCAACTTTCACCACTTCTGTTCAGCACTGTACTGGAAGTTTTAGCTAGAGCAATCAGGCAAGATAAGCAAATAAAAGGCATTCAAAGAGGATAAGAAGAGAGAAAACTATTTCTACTAGCAGGTGACATGACCTTATATAAAAAAAAAATCCTAAAGAATCCACAAGAAAACTATTAGAGTTAACAAATGAATTTAGTAAAGTTGAGGTACAAGATCAACACACAAAAAAGTTATATTTCTATGCATTACCAGTGAAGAAAAAGAAATGGAGAAAGTAACTATTTATAATAGCATCAAAAGGAACAAAATATTCAGGAATAAAATAACTCAAGGAGGTATTAAGACTTGTACACTGAAAACTACAAAACATCAATGAAAGAAATAAAAGGCTTAAATAAATGGGATGACGTCCCATGTGCATGGACTGGAAGACTTAAATGGCAATACATCCCAAAGCAATCTACAGATTCAATGTAAACCTGATCCTAAAATTCATATGGAATTGCAAGGGACCCAGAATAGCCAAAATAATCTTATGAATGGAATGTGAGTTGGAGGACTCACAGCTTCTGATTTCGAAACTTATTAAGCTGTAATAATTAAAACAATATTAGTATTGGCATAAGAAAAGACATGTAGATCAATGAAGTAGAACTGAGAGTCCAGAAATAAACCCATGTATCTAAGGTCAAATGATTTAAAAAATAAATAAATACATTTAAGTTTATTTATTTTGAGAGAGAGAGAGAGAGAGAGAGAGAGAGAGAGAGAGAGAGAACGTGTGCAAGCGACTGAGTGGGGGAGTAGCAAAGAGAGAGAGGGAGACAGAGAATCCCAAGCAGGCTCTGCACTGACAGAGCGATGCTGGGCTCGAACCCATGAACTGTGAGATCATAACCTGAGCCGAAACCAAGAGTCAGACACTCAACCAACTGAGCCACCCAGGCGCCCCTAAGGTCAAATAATTTTTGACAAAGATGCCAAGATCCTTCAATGGTAAAAGAATAGTTTTCTCAATAAATGGTCCTGGGACCAGATACCCACATACAAAAAAATAAAGTTGGACCTTACCTCACACAACATGCAAACCTAACTCAAAATGGATCCAAGGCCTAAACTCTTAGAAGAAAACACAGGTGGGCATGGGAAGTGACAGCTTTATGTTTCATTAGCTAGGTTTCCATTTGGGGTGATGAAAAGTCTGGAACCAGACAGTAGTAATGGTTGTACAACACGGTGAATATACTAAATGTCACTGAACTGTACACTTTATGATAGTTAACTTTATGTCAAGTGAATTTTATCTCAATTAAAAAAATTACACTTCTATACACTTACAATGAAAATGTGAATATGAGAAAAAAATTCCATTTATAATAGTATCAAAAAGAATAAAATATTTAGAATAAACTTAAGAAATACCAAATGGATACTTGAAAACTACAAAATGTTATTGGAAGAAATTATAAAAGATGTGAATAAATGAAAGGCATCCTGTGTACATGGATTACAATATTAAGTATTGTTAAGACGGCAATATGTCCCAAATTGATCTGTGGAGTCAATATGATCTCTATCAGAGTCCTGGCTGGCTTCTTCATAGAAGTTGACAAACTGATCCTTAAATGCATTTGAAAACTCAAGGGACCTCGAGAAGTCAAAACAATCTTGAAAAAGAAGAACTAAGTTGAAAGACTCTCAGTTCCTGATTTTAAAACTTGTTACCCAAGCAATGGTAATTAAGACAGTTAAACAGAACGATTATTTGATCTAACAATTCTACTTCTAGGTTTATACACAAGAGAAATGAAAACCTATATCCACACAAAAACTTGTACAACAGCATTATTCCTAACAGCCAAAAGAGAGAAACAACCCCAATGTCCATCAACTGATGGATAAACAAAATGTGGTATGTGTGTAAAAGGGGATGTTATTTGTTCATAAAAGAGGACTAGTTCTGATACACCCTAAACATGGATGAACCTTGAAAACATCATGCTAAGTGAAGGAAGCCAGTCACAAAAGACCACATATCATATGGCTCCAATGACCAGAACAGGCCAATCTACAGAGATAGAAAGTAGATTAGATTAGGAGTAGCCTAGGGCTGGAGGAGTGGAGGATTTGGAGGGTAGTAAAGGACACACTGTTTTTTTCTTAGGTGAAAAACTTTTAAATTGGCTGTGGTGACAGTTAAGCAACTCTATGAATATACTAAACACCACTGTATTATGTAACATAAATGAATGAACTGTATGATTTGTGCATTCCATTTCAATAAAGCTGTATGCAAGAAATAAAGGAAAAGAAAGAAAGAATATATAAGGAATGATTTCAATTATATAACTGAACAGGTAACACTAACCCACACCATCAAAATCAGGATAGTAGCTACCTGGCAGGGAGGATAGTGACTAGAGGGGGGCACAAGAGAGTTTATGACATACTGGTAATGTTACGTTTCTTGATTTGGATACTGGGATACATGCGTTAGGTCTGTTTATGAAAATTCTTTAAGCTATATAGTTATAGGAGTTTTCTGTACATATATTATACTTCAACCAATAATGTAAAACTATATTTTATGGTCAGCACTTAGACCCTGTAAGTGCCTAAATAAAAACAAAACACTCTAGCCTGTATCAAAAAACAAAATGGCGACCACATTCAGCAGGTAACCTAAACAGGAGGAAAAGGTACTGGGGGGCGCTTTGTTAATGGTAATAAATAGTACTGTCTTATAAATTAAGAAAATTATCCAGGGCCCTGTGTCAAAAAATCTGAAGTGTTATTTATTTATGTGTCAACAGTGTAATGAGAAAACAATTATGCTACATTTCGGCAAAGAACACTAGACAGGGAATATGTTTTGGCTCTACACTTACTGTGTGACTTGAAAAAAATCAGTTAACTTTTTAGCACTTCCCTAGATCTCTTCTCTTGGGGACAACCCATTTAATGTGATTTTGGAGAGAATCCGAGAAGTCTGATACATGAAAGTACTCCAAAAAAAAAAAAAAAAAAAAAAAAAAAAAAAAAAAAAAAAAAAAAAAAAAAAAAAAAAAAAAAAGGCTGAGGAAATGTGCAATGGCACTAGAATTTAAAATAAAATCAAAAGCTCTTCAGTGAAATACAGTATTAACAAATCTAGGCGTTCACTCAATTATTCTATAAAAAAAGCATCCCCAGTGTAGTTACTAAAATTTCCCAAGTAATTACACTAAATAGCTCTTCAGAGGCTCTAAATGCATATTATTTGATTACGGAGAGCACCAGCTGGAGTGTCAAGCAGAATAATGGCCTGAATGAAAGAGGACAATACCTTACAATATAATATACTGTTAATCACCACAGATACTCTGATTAGAACATATAGTAAGTAGGCTAATTTTATTTTCTCTTTCGTTTCTTCTGCAACTAAAGCTTACACACAGAATCTGTTACTGGTATTTGAAGGAAAGGATTTGTACACTTTTCTTCCTAACGGCAGAGGCAAACTGGTCAATACCTGAGAAGCTGAGCCATCGGAACCGCCTGGGTGAGAGTCATCAGGAGGGCCGACAGAGCCATGAGCAGCCAGTGAAACGTTCCCTCCCAGAAATTCATCTCCTCGAACCGAATGGATGAGATCATTCAAATATTTATAATAAAGATTGCTGGATAAAAAGCCAGGCAAAAAGACCTGAAAAAGAGGACAAGCATTATTTTAAAGTTGAAGTCAAATACGACTAAAATTTTATTTGCAAACAAAATTTTACCCGCAGTTCTACCAGGTGGTACAAATGATTTTGTCACACTACCAAGTATTATCCCTTCATACACAGTTTACATTGTGACTACAATTAAGAGTACAATTTGTAGGTTTTTTCCCCTGAAAAACACTTGCCATAAAACTATTACATAGACTTGATATTTAGACTTCTTAGTGACCAGAAAACATGCAGGGAGTGAATATAACCTGACACTACATTTTTCTGGTTTGCTATAAATATTAAAGTCCAGGTGTATGTATTGATAATTTACTTTTGAACTGATTTCCTTAAGATAAATTACCAGCTGTGTGATTATTGAGTTAAACAGCATGAACATTCTAGCTTTGATATATATGGCCAATTTACTCTTCAGAAGGATGTTGCTAATTTGTATCATTGGCAATATATCAAGGTGTCTGTTTTGAGACCGGCTTTCCAACACTGGATTGTGTTTTTCCAAATCATTGTTAAATAAGTGCCTAATGATGGATGTTTTTCTTTGCATTTAAAAATTATTAATGATGCTGAATAAGCTCCCATGCTTATTACTGGCACTTCCTATCACCAGCTTTTCCTTCATAGCACTTAGCCCATGACAGTGGCACTTAGCCCATGACGGTGGCACTTAACATGTTTTTAACTTGTGCCTTCTTTATAGACAGAGCTCCAAGAGGGCAGAAACCACATTTCTTCGTTTACCCCTGAAACACCAATACCTAGCACAGAAATTCTCAAAGTACTGATGAACAAACCATCTAGGTCTTTTTCTCATTTATCTACTTGATAGTATTCTTAAAATTAGTGTAAGTTCTTTCACATATATACATTTTATAAGAAATATTTTTATGTTCTGTTTTTCTGTGTATTTTAATTTTCTTTTTTTAGCCAGAAAGCTTGCACTCTTCACATGATACAGATTTGGAACTTTTCCTTTAAGATCAGAAAGATTTTAACTTTAATTTCATTTAGTTTAATTAAAAAAAATTATCCCTGGGCCACAGCTGATACTCTACTCAGTTTAGCACTAGATTTTAACGATTTGAATTTTATATGTAACTCTTCCATGTTCCTGAAATTCAGTTTTTATGTGTAGTATTATTTAACAGTGCTTACTTAACCCCTTCCCACCTAGATACACATGACATACATAAGCAACAGAACCTCATGGGCTTATCCTGGGCTCTGTGCAATTCCTGGCAAAATCTGCTCTAGTTCATTAGAAGAATGAATCATTCACAAATTCCAACACCTTATTATTAATAAGCTATCAGTGATACCCCAGAAGTTATGATACACAAAACTAGCACTCTAGCCCTGTTGACAGATATTGATGAAATATCTGGAACACCCCTAGGCTAACTTCACCCAATATTGCTATCGAATCATTTTTGAAAATGTGGTAACAACAGGCTATGTTAATAGCCATTGGCATTTTTTAATGCTTACTATGTGTCAGGCGTAACATTAATAGTAACTGCATCCATCTTACCTCATTCTAATCCTTAAAATAACTTTAAGTATCCATACTATCTCCATTTTACCGGTGAGGAAAGCGGCATTAAAGAATTTCAGTAACTGCCTGAGGTCACTCAGCCTATAAAGGTTAAGATGAATACATACCAAGTCAGAGTCAAAGCCTCTGCTCTTAATCACTATGTTCCCCTGTTTCCATTTTCCACTGTTCTGTTACATTGGGTTTCTCCCGTGTTATGTTTTCTGGGTTTCACCAGTAAAAACTTCTTGCGGTTTTAATATTTTTGAAGTTCTTGGTTACCTTCTCCATGGTCGTCCAGGCCTGACGTAATGGAGTTGTGAAACAGTTAGGGAGTGGCCCACCTTCCCTGCAGATATTGGATTCGATTTCTAATCGCACAACATCATCAAATCCAAGAGGATGTGTGGCTTGGAGGGAGAAGTACCTATGGTACAAAGACAGCCAAAGAAAGTAAAACCAAATTCCACAGCCAGTAGAAGCAACTTTTGGTACCTACACTAGAGAATCTTCTATGAGGCTACTTGATTCAGCCTGCAGACCTAGGACTCTAGAACTGGCTGACAGCTGGGCTGCAACCTTGATTCCCACGGCCCTAAAGTCAACTTGCTACCTTTGTATTATCTCCTTTCGTCATCCTTAGCCCTCGTTTAAGTTTTCTGAGGGTCAACTGAGACAAAGAAATCAATCAATCACACACATTGAATGGGTACCCATTCTCTGTTCAGCACTTGGGAGAGAGAAATCGACTTAAAGGAGGGTAAGACACAGTTATTTCCCCTGGAAAGGGAGCAGAAAAGATCTCTGCATAGGCCACAATAAGAACATGCCATCATAACTAAGAGACCCAAGTAATGTACTAGTAGGAATTCAAAATAAAAGAACAGTGAGGGGCAAGTAAGTGCATTTGATGTATTTGGATAGGATAACAGGACTTGATGACTGGGTGCAGAAAGGAGAAGGAGTAATTGATCAGTGATACCTCAAAGATTTCTAACTTCTTAAGATATAATGCAAAACTCGTGTCTTGGTAAGCTGATTATAAAAGTGGATACCAAAAAAAGGAGGATTAAAAGAAAAATACCATCTTAGGGACTTCTAAATCCTGTCTACGATACAAATAAAGACTGATTAGATAGGACTGTGATGTTACATACATAATATACAGAAGACATAAAAACAAACAGGGATTGGTAAAGTCAAATATGGCCCAATGAACTGGACAAAATGACAGTGCGAGTGGGATGCCATACGGTAACCTGCATTTACAAAAGGCTCCCAATGTGACAATGGGATCCAGTAGGAAAACAGACTCTCTGCTCTGTGGGGTCACTGACCTCCAGCCAGGATCTCACTACTAGTACCATTTTTCTGTTCCAGCATAAAAAAATATACATATATATTTTTTGTTATCAGCTTTTTCTTAACAGAAAGTTAGTCTCCCATCTTGTAATGAGTAAGTTGGTAAATACTCTTCCGTGATTGGAATTTTGGAGCATCTCAGACCAAATTTCTAAATGTAAACATCTGCTGTTTCAACGTCCATGTAACAATATTTCTTATATAATATTTCCCACAAATACATTATACGAAAATAAACAGTGAGAAAACATCAAGAACTGTATTCCAGCTTAAGTTATGCCACTAACTCGCCCTGTGACTTTGAGAAAGTCACTACCTCTCTGGGCCTTCATTTTCTCATCTGCAAAATGGGAAAATCGGACTAGATCCCTAATCTGGCTATTCATCAGCATCATCTCGGGAATCTTCTAAAAATAAAGATTCCTGGGTCATACCTCAAACATGCTGAATCAGAATCTCTCAGAGAGGACTGGAAACCTATTTTTAACAAGCCCCCAGGTGATTTTCACACAGACAACCCAGCATGAACTTGCAGAGCAATATTTAAGAATCACTGACCTAGATGCACTCGGCTCTCTCCCAACCCTGACAGTCCATGGATTCTCCTCTACCATCAAGTTATCCTCTTAACAGTTGCTTGTGGATACAAATAGCATATTACTTTTCTTTACAGAGTATGGAAAATTAAATGAACAGTGTACGGGCGCTGGCCACAGCCTTATCATTTAACTGACCAAATGTTTTCAGTCTGTTCACTGTAAGATTTTGCCATCCTCTCGTTTGCAGTGAAGACAAGTTATTCACTGAGTATGAACCAGGCTGGGCAGATCTGCATCACAAAATATGATCTGCCTATAGAGAGTCAAGACCGTTTTTAATATATCCCAGTTAGTTTCATCTTCCTTTTTATTTTTTAGAGAGGGGAGAGAGAGCGTGTGCATATGCGCGTGCGTGCGGACCGGGCAGAAGGAAGGGGAGAGAGGGACTCTCAAGCAGGCTCCACGCCTAGTGCAGAGCCCGATGCGGGCCTCAATCATCTGACTGTGAGAT